TAATTAGTTTGATATTTTCATAAGAGGTTTATAAATAGGTAGGTGGACACCGCCTAGGCGTCGCCTTGATAACCCTGAATAGGTGGACATTAGAAAAAGGAAAAAAAAAAAAAAAGGCTTTTTTGTGACAGTATGATGAAGAGACCTTGAAATTACTGCTTGAAATTTTGTCACACTCAGCATGTATCCAAACTTTGCAACCATCACAACGTACCTAATCAAGCCAAGAATAATAAGATCTTTCTCAGGAAATAGTCCAATGATGCATCTAAAGAAGACAACATTGATAATCATATGATCAACAAAAATGCATAGAAAGGTGAAGCTGACACACCCAAGTCCCACTATCAGAGGGATTGCGTATCTTCTTGCAAATGCCACAATAATGTTTGATCTTCTTCAGCTGGAATGGAGAAGATGTGATCATTAGCATTAAAGCAAATGAAATTGATATCTTCTGTGACATTTGTCATAGAAAATGTAGAAACACACTAGCAAAGAACATAATAGACCCTTGCACAAGCAGCACATAAGCGGTGGCTCCCAGGAGCTGAACTATTCAATTTCCCGGATGCTTTGGGAGGAATATATGAACCACATGCCTCACAAGAGTCTGACTCTTTTTTCACCAACAAATCCTGCATAAAAACAGTAGAAGTTGTAATTTGATTTTAAGTAACTGATGCATGCATAGGGAAGCAGTAGGAAAGAACCATGGGCTACGGGCAATCAGTGCAGATCATCAAGGAACATTAGGAGATTGATTTATTCCAAAATATCTTTAATTGGTTGTTATTTGAATTTGATTTATTTCCTTCACAAATGTGTAATAATTTTGATGATTCTCCTTTCTGTTTTATGCTTTACTGAATCTATGTAATCCTCCTATATAAATAAAGGAGATTTCTATGCTAATAAAATTACAACTGAATTAAGTCAAAATTAAGGAGAAGGAAACTCTCCAGAAAATCCAAATCTTTGTTTTTATTCATTACATTAGTTTCCCTTCCTATCTCTGCCCATCTACTTTCATAAGTCAAGATAGGAAAGCAAGATTTCCTCTTAACAATATCCATCGCCCAGTGATGCAAGCCTTGGCCAAGAAAGGACAAAAGGCTCGCCCCCAGTAAACAACAAAAGGCTCATCCACATGAAATGAAAAAAAAAAGGCTCGCCCCTGATTATCAACAAAAGGCTCATCCCCGGGAAAAGACAAAAGGCTCGTCCCCCGGGAAATGACAAAAAGTTCGTCCCCAAGATAAAGCAAAAGACAGTTTTAATTAATACGAATAATTGAGAATAGCAAGTAAAGAAGTCTTGAGTCATTACAAAACTTGCCTTGTTTAGTGAATTGCACTCGAGATCTTGATTTGAATCAGATACCTCAAAAACCCCTCTAGTAAGAGTCTGGAGATAATCAAGATTTCCAGTTGCTGCATTGATTTCAACCATCAACATCTCATTAAAGCCACTTTCAGCAAGAAATGCCTCCTCTATGGCAGATCGAAGATCACTTGGTGCACTATCATTCAAGTTGGTTTGTCCTTGAAACCTAAATGTAAAATGTCCACACCTAACAGTTAAACCCTTGTGTGTTTGCAATATAAATGACAATTCTATATCAAGTAGAATAAATCCGGGGGTTGCAAACCTGTCCACATAATCTAGAAAGGGAAATATCATCCCGCGCTGAATCCATGCATAATCCTGCTCATTAACACAGAATCTTAAAAAATACATCACTTGTCCATTATATCCACACACTATACATGAACATGCAGAGAACACTAACAGTGTCAAACTGTAGCATATCAGCTCAAGTTGATATGTCTCAGTCTTACCCTTTGTGTCCCATTGCCAGAGTAACCAAAGAACATTACGCAAGCAGTGCCAGCAACCTGAAAGCTAGAAACTTGTGGCGGGACTTGTGTCTTGGGATCAAGGACAATTGCTGGCCAAGCAGGACAATGCTTCCCAGAAATTGCCCAAACTATGTCCCCAGAATTAAAGTTCTCGGGCCCAAATCTCTGAGGCTTCCTTTCTCCCTCTCGGGTAGCCAATGCCTCAATGCAGCTTAGTTCTACACATTCCTCAAAGTCTTCGTTCAGAGACTTATCCACCTCCCAGTATCGATCATGCAGAGATGTTAGAGAACTCCGGGAACTAGAAAACTTGCGAATATCAAAACTTTTTGACCCATTGATCCCAAATTCCACTGTTTCAGCGTCCAAGAATGGCGAAGACTTACGGCATTGATAGTTTATACCATCATCAATGCTCTTCTTATTCCCAACTTCATTGCGAATCTTACCATTCTTCAAACTGATTTTTTCTTTATATGGATTGAACTCAGGGTCCAAACTCAATTCCCTTACAGTAGTAGCTTTACTCTTCTCTTTCTTCCAATTATCCAGAACAGAGTCATTGAATCGAGAAGGCAATGCCTGTACCCGTCCTCGAGAAGTCCTCACCAGCGGCGGCCGCGCATTAATAACCTCCTGCACTCTATTGGAGCTCTCTTTCCTCTTCGATTTCGCCTCCTCCTCGTCCCGGCAACATGAGACCACAGTGCACCACGACGCCGCCGTAGCACCGCCCTTGCCTCTGCCGGCCATAATCCGCTGTAGACCGTACCCACTGAACGGAATTACACCGGCGGCGACTTCTCCGAGCAGATGCAGCGGGTAATACCCCCCATTCTTATTGTTGTCCTTTCTCCTCTTCCGATTCCTAGAACCCTCGTCGTCATCTCCGCCCGAGTCGCCAGTTCGGCAACGCTTTAAACTCGGCATTACCGATTTCAAGTTCCGCTTGATTATCATCTCCAATATTTGACCCCCAATTCCAACCCAAACCCACAATTGGAGCCCAAACCCTAGCTCCAGATTAAGGTCTCAAACCGCCAAAACGTCGAACACACGCAAAGCAAGCATCCAAATTCTTAAGGAAAATTGGCAGCAATCATTGAACAGACTCCGCGCAGAAGATAGAATTTCTTAAAATGAAGAAGATCTGAAAAATCGTTGAAACACAGAGAGAGATGTATGAATGAATAGGGATCTCTGCCACGCAACTCTTATTAAACTGCTAAATCGAAGAGAGAGAGAGAGAGAGAGAGAGATGTATATATATAAAAGAAAGAAAAAAAAAATGCGATTTTTATAATAATATTATTATTTTCATAAAATAATCTGTGTTAGAGCTATAGAATATCCATTCTTGCTGAAAATTTTGATAATGAAAAAGATAGAAATATATATATACATACAGGTGGGTGTATGTATAATAGACAGAGAAGAAAACAAGGAAGAAGCATTGCGTTGGGTGGGTGGGGGTGGGCTTATATTAGTCCGGAGTAGAGAAGCGAGTGCTAAATTGCGCCAAACGTGCTTGGAGTCCAAGTCTGAGATTGCGGGCATTCTAGACATGGCGGTCTTGTGACTTGTTTTTATGTTTCTAATTTCTCTTTCTCTTTTGTTTTTGTTTTTGTTTTTTTTTGATTTTTTTTGTTTTGCAGAGGTTTTGGTTGTGAGTTCTGAGAGAAATGGTCTCCAAGAAAGTTGGACGAAGAAGACAATGGGTATTGCGCTGAATGGGTGGTGAAAAAAAACATGTTTATTATGTCACATTGTTAAAATGAAAATAATAAGATTTTAACTTTAGAAAAGATTGAAATGAGAGAGAAATTGGTTTTGTGATTTGTTGTTGGCAGATGAAGAAATTTAGGAAATGGCAATCTTATGTACTTTTTTTTTTTTGTGTTTTGTTTTGCAGAGCAGACAGAGCAGAGGTTTTGGGGTTTTGGTTGTGAGAGGAGAGGATCTATGGCGGAGCAAGGAAGGTATTGAAATGGAAGCATCAACACAGATTTGACTGCTTTTGTTTAGTTTTAATGTTGGTTTGTATCCTAATATATTCTCAACCAAACCAACACCCGGTTTTGTTTCATTTGCACATTTAACTTTTTTATCATTTTGTTGTGGAAAATTGTTCAAATACATTTACAAACTTTATACGGAGAAGTAAATTAGAAATTTGAACTTTTGAAAGTGATAATTAAGCGCATAAATATGTTAGTTTAGTGCATCAAAATCCCAAAAATTAGTTAGTGACCTGTAATAACCTGTCATTAGGGTTTTGGCGATGTTTCGATTACTTCCAGATGAAAACCGGCAACGAGGGACTAACAAATCGTCGGAGAAGGAGTCGCAATTGATTTTTCGACGATTGGAGATGACGACCAGTTTCGTCGCCTTGTCCGACGTTTGGAGACTGAGAGAAAAAAGAAATAGAGAAAATACACTAACATTTTAGAAAAAATTATACTAACAAAGTCGTTAAAAAGTAGAGGCCAAATTTAACACTCATCCACATTATTCAAAGCCAAATAGTTGGTTTGGTAATCACAAAATTTTAAATTTGATTTTTTATGATAGGTGTTCATTGGGTTTCTTAGTTTGAACTAATAACTATGTGGAACCTAAACTAGTTTACGCCCTACATGGACCTTAGTCAGTTAGAGTCACAATGTAGGCTTCACTGGTTCACCCATAATAATTGTGAGATTTTTCGTAAATCAAAGTAAGTTAATTTGTAAAAAATTTACTTCTGATATATTTGTTTAATTATCTTTTCAAGGTAACAATTATAGCTTTCTACTATTCATCTTGCTTTAAAAACTATTGAACAAGACAATTTAAGAATAACTTTTGAGTATTTTAGAAAAATTATTTTTTTCAAACTTGTAAAATGATACACACTTTAGAATGTCAAACAATGAAGAGCAATTTTTCAACTAAAGACCATTAGTTGATATATTCACGAAGCCCCTGCCTCACGATTTTAGTTTTTCCGGTACAAGCTCAATATTTTGTCACACCAACCTTATGCTTGAGAGGGAGTATTAGGGACTCTACGATTGTAATTCATATATATTTCTAGTTTCGTATTATTCTATGTTGTATACATGTGCGTGGGAAAAGATTTGAACCCTTGAAAGATTTATGGAACATACTCATTCTTATTCAGCAAACACTATGTACATCTGTAGTTGGATTATTACTAATCTACGAGGAACATTATTGCAACTAAGAACAGAACAACAAACTACTTACTAATGCCGCAAGATCTTACATTATCTTCTTCTTCTTCTTCACCAACAACTACCCAGTACTAACATAACACCCTTCTGCCTTCTTATTCATAGAGTTGAACACTCAGTGCTTCTCGCTCTTGGATTCTTCGGTTTTCGCAAATCTTCCTCGGATCCTTGGTTGACTGTCTGCCAATGCCTTCCTGCAAGCATACTGCACCATACAATAACAAGAAGAAAAACAAAAAACGCTGTTATTTTTTGGTTTGAGCCAGTCAGTTATAGGTAACTTAAGCTGGTTTACTTCTTTGTGGTCCTTTGGAAACAGGAGCTAAAAATTAGCGGAAAGAAAAGCTTACCTTGATTTTCCTGCCGAAATTCCTCTTAGCCTTCTTGATCCGGTATCTGGATAGCTTCTCCTTTCGGTCTTCAGAGATGGAAGTGCGTATAATTTGAGATTGTCCGTGTGGGGAGTGGATGAGGTTTATATTACCATTACCGAGAGTCTGTCAACAAAACTCATTATCAATGACCCAGCCCCATCCTGTTGAAAAGGCCAGAAACGGCTATACATTTCTCAGTTTGCAGACTTCATCACGGAACCAAGAAATGCGCAGGAGGTCTCATAGAAGGAATTTACTCGCAGCTGGTGGTTAGAACCACAAACAGATGAAAATGAGGATATACAGATGTAGTAATGTCACACAAGAATACAACATCACAAACCTTGCATGCTTTTCCCAGCACTCTTTAAAACCGATATATTTCGTTGTCATCTTCAGTCTTATAAATCATTGCTAGGAATTTAACCGTCTCGTGTGTTTCATGTTAAATCATAGGGATAATGTTACGAGGAGCATTACTCTAATGTAAGACATCTGCTATCACTAATGCTCATCAAATAACAGGCTGCTATCAAAACGTAATTCACACGACTCTACGGTGCTGTAAGAATTTGTTGGGCGGAGGCCGGTAAGGGCCAAGTCCAGCACCATGTGGCTAAGGGGATTGTTGGGCGGAGGTCAGTAAAGGGCCAAATCCAGCACCATGCCTCTCGAAAATGTGATTGCAGTTTATAAGGAAATAAAGTTGCGTCTTCGCTACAAATTATAGCTTTTGGTGTTATTGGTAAGCGTTTGATCCTAACAAGTGGTATCAGAGTCAGGTTATAGATTCGAGCTGGCCACCATGTGGCTCGGGGATTGTCTTAGTGGTAAGCCCTTGATCCTAAGGGAATTTAGGAGAACTCTAAGGCCTTTTTGATTTACTAGCGCTAATTTGTTTAAATTTTCAAGTTAGAAAGAAACCTGCAATACTAGACCGAGGCCCCTGGACTATGTTGCTGTTACGCAACCCTATTATGTAATTATGCTCAATTGAGATGTGAAGTTAATGGAAGACGAATGATAAATGAACGAAAACACGTAAATGACAGCAAAATTAAACTAGACCTTTATGTCTCCTTCACTGAGTGATCTTCTTATCCCATAAGCAGCAGCGCCAAAGTCCATTCCCGGGAAGTCGAAAAAATTAGGCCTCAATGGAGCGCATTGTGCCCAGTCCATGGTGTTTAGAGACTTCGAACTAACGCTTTTCTGAAGTGACCCCTGAGAATCCAAATGCGCCTCTGATGCCGCCATCTTTTCATCGGTCTCGGCAATGGGAATCTTGACATCAAGATCTTCAGAGAGTGGCGCTTCTATCCCGTCTTTTGCCAAAAGATCTTTCTTGCATTCATAGAAAACCTCGCTGAGGAGCTGCCCATTCTCAAACGACGATTCAATATTGGAAATCTCGAGGCCTTGGGGAGAGATGACATCATCTCCGCAAGATATCAATGAGATAGCAGCTGTCATTGGATCAAGATCCACCAATGGTTCTTCGATAATTGGTTCTGGAGCCTTGAACAGATCCCCTTCTCCTCCAAGGTCATAATCTGATATAGACGATGTGGTCTGTACAGACACAGGGGAGCCTCAAATTAGGATTCAAAAACGAAAACCATAAAAGTCACAAAAATTACTATCACTTGAATCCCGCCTTTCATCCATTGAAAACTCAACTCAATTAAAGAACACCAAAATCTATAATCTGGAGAAAATATTTGACGGTAACAAGACCATTTGCTAACCGTAAAAGAAAAATTACCAAACTAGATCTAGAAAACACTAGTAATAAGAACCTGTGAACCCAGAAAAGATATTAAAAACAAAAAAGAGGGGAAGAAAAATGGTTATTCTAACACTTAATCTGCAAACATTATGGAAACCGAGCAAAAGAACCACGCAGCTTCCCGAGAAATACAGGCATACAGCCCATGCCCATCCCTAGATAAGGAGAGAGACTACACATCCAAAGATTCTTGCAACTAGTAAGCCTCGAGAAGACCAAAACTGGCAATGACGACTCTGCTGTTATCATATGGCTGGCTATTTTAAGAAAGAACAAGATCATATTGACCTGTAGTTCTCTAAAATTTGTTCTCGAGTCTTCAAAAGATCCCTTCTCCTCCAAGGTCATATTCTGATGAGGAACTCTTATATTAAGCAGGAAAACGCAATCACCCAAATCTACGCTACTTGTTAAACCTAAGATTAGTGGAAGCTTATATTAAGACAGAAATCTTTCCAGTTTCCACTCCACCTCAAATCCAAAGAGCTCAAGGGCAAGAGATAGGGTTGATACTTTATTAAAAAGAAAAACACCCATTTGCTAAATCCATATTCCCACTTAACAAACCTCCCTATCTATGACAACATAAGGGTCCCTTCACTTTTGCTTTTCTTTTTTCAACCTTTTTAATATCCCATCTCTTTATAAGCTGTGAAAAAGTGAATCCATGACAAGAAATGGGCACAGCAGAAAACAAGAAAGATCAAAGCAAAAAGGGAATAAATAGGATGCAAGTCATGGCCATTTGTGTCTTCAATGCTGGAAAAATTATTGGAAAAGGGAGACTCCCCAAGGAACTCATGATTGCGATAGTATTATCTACCATTCACATGTAGATCTAATACATAAATGGAACTCAACTTCTTTCCATATATATATATATACTCTATTACACAGAACAGAATATCCTACAAAAGTTAAAAAAGAAATACATATACATACATACTATATATAGATGATCTTTCAAACTAAAACTTTGAACTTTTCTTTCTCTTGCCTAAGTCGAGCAAAGGAGAAAGAATTGGTATGCATAAACAACAAATTGGGGATATTAAATAAAGCCCAAAGTCCCAAAAAATTGAAACTTTTTTGACATCCTAATAAGAAAAGAGATTGAAAGTTCATAGACCATATCAGGATCAAAATTTCAAAATCTTGTATACAAATTAGAATACAAAATACTGATCAGAGAAAAAAAAAAAAGCATAAGAAATTAGTGTAAAATTGTTAAAGAAAATCCAAAAATTGAAGGAGAAATAAATAAATAATCACCAATGAGCCATTGGGTCTCTGAGAGCAATACAAGTCTTCAAGTTGCTGAGCTTCTTGAGGAAAGCTCGGCCAGTAAGGGAACATTAGCCCATTCTCAGCATACATTTCTTTGTTTCTCTCTCTACAGAGCTCCCCTTATGTGTGTCTCTCTCTATAGTCTGTATGTATATGTACTTGTAAATGAATTGAATGAGGGAGACTAGCAGCAATGGAGCAAAGGTCCTTTTTATAGGTGTCAAAGTGAGCTAGAGAACAAACTAACAGAGCAGAGCAGAAGCAGAGAGAGCCGCTACAGAAACAAATAAAGGAGTGAAAGAATCTGAATTTGGTTGGTCTTGGGGTCTTTATTTATGACAAAGAATTTTGTATTCTAAAAATTATTGTTTTATAGGAATACAAATATTTTCCTGTTGATTAGTTTTGTTTATTTAAAGTGCTGCTTTTACATCAAACTTATAGAAGTCATTGTCTAAGTATACAAGTTGAAGAAATAAAATAATGCCTAAATATCTGATAATTGACCTAATTAAGAGTCCCGCATTGTTTGCGTGATCGTGTTAGACCCAATGAATGAACGGATCAACTGGCTAACTTGCCATAAAATAGGTAGAAAGTAACAATAGAGTCAAGGGTTGTTCTGCCTTAGACACTAAGGTTTGGTAGAGTTAGGCATGCCGACAACTATATGGGACCGAGGCGATTCGAAGGGTACAACTGGTCGGGAGCTATTGTTGTTCCCTTGATGATCTCATGTAGGACGAATCTAGTTTGACACTATGAGGGGTAAGGTTCATCTGTAGGGTAAGAGGGGCCTGGGACACTGTACGGACGCTGGATGCTGTATTGGACTTAGGCCTGTGACATAAGGCATGACAAATTTACTAACCACAACAGAGTTTTTTTTTTTTTTTTTTTTTTTTTTTTTTTTTTTTTATGGCAAATATTCCTAGGACATATTTCACAGAATAAATAAGTGACAAATTGTAAAATTGAGAATATAATTTTCGCAAAAAAAAAAAAAAAAAAAAAAAAAGAGACTGAACAGCATTGAATTACAGTTCATTTGGAGAAGTGAAAATGATAGACAAGTATATTAGAGGAAAAAAAATGAGATTAGGACAAAAGTGTGAAATGGACATCAAAATCATATTATAATGCAAAAGTGTCCCCATTTCTCTTATCATGCTTAATTATTTTATTGTTCTGGTATGTAATGCCTATTTCATTGTTTCTCCAATAAGGGATTTTGCAGGATGCACCGAATAGTTTGTTTGGCTAAGCAAAATTATTGATTTTGTATGTGTTTTGTGTGCAGAGACATTACAGAATTTTTAAATTTTATAACTTCTTTAATTTTGTCTAAAAATATACTCCGTATAATTTAAGCCAAACTGTGTTGAATATCTTTCATGAATTTCGTCAATTATGATTAAGTTATAGTTCAAATGCTCTGTCGGGTCAGGTGTGAGGGCCTTTTGTAACATCCCACTTTTCTAACTCTTAATTATAACTCTAATCAGTCATTAACAATACTAAGCAGCGGAAAAACTAACGATATAAAGTGGAAGTGTCACCGCCACAACAACCACTCTTTGATGATTCTACAGACAAAAAGGGGTAAAACTAGAAATAAGATTAAGTCTGGGTATTAAAAATAAATATTGAAAACGTAAGGGAGAAAAACGTCGCCCCAAAAGTCTACAACATCATCAAAGAGTATATAAAGTCATAAGTCTAAATCCATAACATAATCATCAACCGAACTAGAGTTTAGATTTCTCCGAGACTAATCTAACTCGACTTCTTCACACAGCTGGGCCCACCTGAAAGGGGTTTTGCAAGCAACACATAGACAAATAGGAAAACACCCGTTAGCACGAAGCTAAGTATAACCACACTCAACCCTGTAAAGCATTCTAGCATATACTTTGAAAACATTTGATATCTTTATAGCAATAAGCTAATCTCAAATCATCTTAAGATTTATCACATTCTTTCTAGATGCTTGCACCCTATAATATCACTATATCAGCTGGCATGCTCTTGTATGTACAAGACTGTTCACATAGGTTCAACAGCTTATAAACTTCTCAAATAACTTAACAAGCAACTTATGCTTACGGATTTGATCATGTTAAAAGACCATATAACAGATGTTTACATGCTTTCACATTTTTATCACATAATTTGATAAGTAGAGCTTCTAATACAACACAATAATCATGCTCAAGGAATATCTTAAGTCAAACTTCTCGTTATACAACCTCTTATGATGCTCTATTCGCATGCAATCACGTATAACATTATGATCATACTTCTCATGCAATCTAATGTAATAATATATTCATACTCATGTGCAATCTAGTGCAACGATATAATCATACTCTTATGCAATCTAGTGCGACAATATACTCATACTCATATGCAATCTCGTGCAACAATAAAATCATACTCTTATGCAATCTAGTGCAACAATATACTCTTACTCATATGCAATCTCGTGCAACGATATAATCATACTCTTATGCAATCTAACGCAACAATGTAATCATACTCATATGCAATCTAGTGCGACAATATACTCCTACTCATATGCAATCTCGTGTAACAATAAAATCATACTCTTATGCAATCTATCGTGCAACAATAAAATCATACTCTTATGCAATCTAGTGCAACAATATAATCATACTCATATGCAATCTAGTGCAATAATATACTCATACTCATATGCAATCTAGTGCAATAATATACTCATACTCATATGCAATCTAGTGCAACAATAAAGTCATACTCTTATGCAATCTAGTGCAACAATATAATCATACTCATATGCAATCTAATGCAATAATATACTCATACACATATGCAATCTAGTGCAATAATATACTCATACACTCTTTTATAAATTAGAGTACTTTTCGTGGAGGTCTCTTTGTTACTTGCTCAAGTCTCTCTTGACTCTCTTTCTTTCTCTCGAGTCTTTATTGACTCTCTTTCTTGAGTCTCTGTTGACTCTCTTTCTTTCTCTTACACTCGTAGACGGCTTAGGGTTTCACAGAAGTGTGAATTACCCCATCGGGAACGACATGATTCCGACCCAATATCTCCTACCGTCTACGGAACCAATCTCGTGGTTCAAACTCTGTGGAATCAGGTATCCAACTATTAGTGTGCACACCCCCTAGCTAGGATTCCAAGCCTGGCGGGAAGTTTCCAACCTCGTAACGTGGGAATACGCCGCGTTACACATACTAGGACCGCAATGTCCATAAATATCTCCCGAGAGAAACATAGTCCAAACGGTATCCTCCAAAACCTCACCGATATAGATAATACATAAATATATCTCTCATGCACCAATCTCATGCATGAAACAATTCTACTACTTCTCAATGCATCAAAGAATGTTATACCACGTGCTTATGGTTTTTTTGAAAGTATTCTTGGGCTCACGTTGGCCCCTTATGCATTTTTGAAATATGGCTCATGTGAAGTGTCAAAATGCTCTATAACATGCTTCTAAATCATGTATAAACTTATGAAGTATTCAAGAATAAATCATCATGCTCGGTTTGTAACATGACAATTTCTATACATTTCACTCAACAAATATGTTTCTATTCTCATTGATCAAATAACACAATTTAATCATGTTTTCATAATAAATCATATTCTCAAATGATCATGCTTCTTTACTCAATAAAATATCATTAGATCACAATAATCAAATAATTCTTCATACACAGTAAACTAGCAAACATACACTGCGTAGCAATTCTTCACAAATTCCTTCATAACATACTCGTTTTAATCCAAATTCAACAAAATCAAAGCCACAACGTGCGTCGAGACGATCCCGAAGAGCCGAGCCACAAGGGCCCGTAACATTCGGTCCAAAATGACACGTAGCTGAGCCACAAGGTCCCGGTCACTGCACAAAATCCTTCACAGACTAAACTCAGGGACCTGGGGCGGGACTCCTCATGGTCCGCCCCATGAGCCCCGTTAAAGTGCCGGGACTAGGCAACGGCCCTCCTCTAGGGCCGTGCCCTAGCCCCATGCCACCACGGCTCTAGCAGGCGACCCTCCTGATGGGCCGCGGCTAGGGCCGTCCCTCTGATCTGGTGCACACTGTGTTGTGCACTAGATGATATTTCTCCTACAAAAACTCATCCAAACAAGTCCAAAACAATCACAACAACTCACAAACACATACTAAATCACTTCTAAGCATGAACACATCAAAAACTCATTGTTTCTACTCATTTCTATTCATAACTAAGGCTTCACAGAGCCAAAACTTAAAGAGGAATCCATGGGGTTATACCTTTTGTAGTCTAATCTTCTTGCTTGGATCTCTTCTTCCTCCTTACCTAGCTTGAGCTTCCTTTACCACCTATACTTCCCAAACACACCATAAAACCTTAGCCTAGAACCTCAAAGACTAAAGGAAACTAGAATAGAAAAGAGGCTAGAAATGAAGGATGAACAAGCTTACTATGACGTTGTTTCTCTCATTGTTCTTGGCAGACAAAATGGTGAGGAAGAGGCAAAGAATGAGATCAGGGAATCAAGATGGAATAAGGTGGTTTATATAGGGTTCAAAACCCTAGGATGATCCACAATGATTGGTTGAGGGCAAAGGGGTAATTTCACAAGCTAAAAGATTGGTTGTCTTGTGGTCCACCATGCAACATGAGCCATAGGCTAAAAATGCTATCTTTTATTACTTTGGGGTTGAAAGTGAATTTTCCCAAAAGCTATTTGAATGAACACTTGTTCAAAAATCCTTTTTGAATTCTCCCGGTCTCACTCAGATAAAATTCTCGATTTAAATCTTGGTACGCGAAGTACCCGAAAACTTAGAAATTTTTGAATAGAATTCATTTCTTCGGTGTCGAATTAATTTAAAAAATGCGACGAAATTATTTTATTCAACCACCGATTGATCGCAAAAAATTTTAATGGAGTGAAAAAGCTACTATGGGATTTCTTAATACTGGATTTATAAAATGAAATTTTGGATTGTTACACTCTATCCCCCTTAAAAGAAGTTTCATCCTGAAACTTAGAAGAAACGGGTGGATCAAGTTTTCGAAGAAAAGGTGATATAACCAAAAGGTTAGAATTTTCTGTTGGAAGACTTGGGAAAGATTTAGGAATCTCTGAGTTCTTATCTATCTTATCTAAAATCTAAACAACTGCACCAACGAATCTATAACTGAACTTAGGAGCTTAACTAGTTACCTTGATTAAAGCCTACCGAGGAATCGCCTGGTGGCATGTAGCTCG